CACACACAGACTTTATTTAATGAACTTTTTACCAAAAATATAGCAAATATGTAAAAACTAAATATCAGTTTATCACATTGTGTATTTCTACGTGTTTACAGTGTGTATCTCTTTTTTTTTACAGTGTGTATCTCTAAGTGTTTTTTTATAGTGTGTGTCTCTATTTGTTTAAAGTGTGTATCTGTATGTCTTTACAGTGTGTATCTGTATGTTTTTTCAGTGGGTATCTCTATTTGTTTACAGTGTGTATCATTATGTGTTTAAAGTGTGTATCACTATGTGTGTTTACAGTGTGTATCCATGTGTGTGTTTACAGAGTGTATCACTGTGTGTATCCATGTGTGTGTTTACAGAGTGTATCACTGTGTGTATCCATGTGTGCTTGTTGCGGTGTGTTTCTATCACCCTCATTGGTCCCTATGCTCTTTTTGAGGCATCCTGGGTGTGAATGCCCACATTGCCCACTCGCTCTTTCTGTTTCTGTCCCTTTCCTGTTAAAATAATGCTCACTAGAGCCACCAAAACCTGAAGGGAAACAAATCACAACATTGTGGTTAAAGCACTCAGGAACTATTAGTTATGAGGAGTGTACCAGGGCTGGAACTGAATGGGGACGTTCTATTGTCTGGGCTTTGCTTTCTGCTGTCTTAGGTGATGGAAATACTAGTGGCTAACATGTATTTCTTTAAAGGGTCCAGCGCTCATCTGAATGATGATGGGAGGAGCTCTACCATCCCACGGGAGTTTCTTAGTACAGAAAGGTTTCTCTGAGGGGGATTATCTAGTTAGGATGCGTCCTGGTCCCGCCGTGGACATGACAGGTCACAGCAGATCTCTGACTGACGGATGGGGGGGGATTCGGGTTGTTTTAGCTCTGCAGTGCATTCAGGTTCTCCTCTTTCACTTCAAGGCAGGTTCAGGATGCTGAGAACAGACATGAGGAGGTCTCAGAATGGGCCCAGTTCAGGGGAACTGTGTGTCTGTCTCTGACTGTGAGGTCAGCAGTGGATCATGAACGTAATCCCCCCCCTCCCTGAACCGGGACCGGTCCGCTGGCCTGCACAGACAGGAGCTAGAATATGAGGTTGAGGGAGGACAATGAGACACAAACACCCAGCAGGACTAGGGCTGTTCCAGAGTCTAAGGAAGTGATCTGCAGTTAAACCGGATGAGCAGGTTCTGCCAGTGTCACAGAACATCCAGTCTGAATGCTGCCGAACGCTCCATGACTCAGCTTTCTTTAGATTGAAAGCTGTTAACAATAGGATACGTGTGGGTAAAGCATTCTCTAAAAGACCAAAGACAGGCTGTGAGGAATATGGGGGACCAACACGCACAGATTCAGACCACATTCCCGTTTCCTTTAATGCCGAAAAACTCCTCCCTTCAAATCCCAGTTTCCCAGAAACCAGAGCCAGCTGTTGCATTGGTTCTCAGAGATCAGTTTCTTCAGTCCAAAGAGAGTAGAACCAATTAGCATTTTTGGCACCAAGCAAAACAAACAAAGAAACAAAAACAATTAAACAAACAAACAAAAACAAACAAACAAAAAACAAAGAAGGCACTTTCAGGAGACAATTGTGTCACTTCCTCCGGTCATTAATCCATTCTCGTAACCCCTTATCCCCTAATGGGGTCGGGGGGGGCGGAGCCTATCCCAGTAGCCAATGGGGAGAGGCGGGGTCACCCTGGACGGTCCCCAGTCCATCACAGGGACACACAGAGACACACAAGGACCAACAACCACACACACCCACACTAAGGGCAGTTTGGAGTGTCCATTGTGTCACTTCTGACACATTAGAACCAGCAGCAGAGATCATATTTCTCCGGTGTTAGCTTCCCTTCATGTAAGAGATCCCTGTTAAATTCAGAATAGAATTTAAGGTTCTGCTCCTCACAATCTTCTGTAACTTCCTGGTCAGCATTAGCTTCCTGAGCCCTGGTTAGGTGATGTTTTCTGAGCATGTGCACGAGCATCCGCGAGCATGTTCTCCAACAATAGAGAGGTTAGCCTTTTAGGGATTGTCACCAGAGGAACTCTGGTTTAATGTAAAGCATGGCGATGAGCTCATTTTCCATCTTTGTCCTGCTGGTTGTGTTTTTATTGACTGGCTTTACTCTATGTTTTAATGTATGGATGTGTTTTTTTTTACTGTATTAATTATTTGTTTATTTATTTCATTTTAGTCTTGTAATTAAGTGTTCTTTTCCTCTCCCTGACAAACAGATTTACTGGCATGACTCACCACCCACATTCCTGCAGCAGGTTTAACAGGTGAGGTTTCTCTGTAAAACTCTCACTTGAAACAACTCATCTGTGTCTGGCAGATCAGTTTCTCCTGATCATTACTGTCAGAACTGTTGTCACTTATTGACGATAACCTAACCTGCATCTTTTTGGACATGTTTTTGAAGGAAGCCAGAGTATCCAAAGGGAACCCATGCAAACATCCTCATTTCACAGAGAAAGACCCCTCAGTCTGCTGGGAACTGGGAACCCTCTTAGAACAGTTCTAACTCCTGCACCACTGTGCCTCGCAATTTTAAATCTGTACTTATTCAGTCAGTAAATATCAAATCAATAAGTATCTAATCAGTGTTTATCAAATCTGAAAGTGCTGAATCACAACATTCTGAATTAGTAACTGTTTTGACCAGGACCAGTCAGTAAGAACAGGCTGAACAGATCAGGCCATGCAGAGACAGAGTGGCAGATTTAACAAAGAACATTTAAGAGTGAAGAGACAACGCCCAGAAGAGAAAAAAACCTCAGTAAGGTATGAAATGACGTGGGCGGACAGGTGAATAGTTGAGCCCACAGGTAAACAGAAAGACAACAATCAGAACAGAAGCCGGTTAGAGAGGATCTAAGCAGCCGACACGGAGGACTCACAGGTAAGAGCACCACAGATCGCTCTAAGTATGAAGATATGCGTACCTATTCAGGCAGTTAGTCAGTCAGTTAGTTAGTCAGTTAGTTAGTTAGTTAGTTAGTTAGTTAGTTAGTTAGTTAGTAAGTGACTAAGAGAGTGAGAGACTTATTCTGGCAGTCATTTAACTTTGTTAGTCATTGTATTTTCGGTACAGATGTTATGTCAAAGCTCATTCTTTCTCTCCATTGGAAGTGATGTGTCTCTGGGTTATCAGGGAGGCCTCTGACCCCTGATTTTGATCCTCCATGAGGATCTCTGTGGTGAGCGCCCTCAGGGTTTAAGTAAGAAGTAAATACCATACTCTGCTTTCGGGAAGGCGTGTAGACTGACAGAACCGGCAAGATCTGAGAGAACAGATCAATCTGAGCATTTACCATCAGCAGAGGACTGACGGTTCCGTGCTCTGTTGGTTTAATCGTTCAGTGTTGTTCCCATTATTTAATGGTTTGATGGTTTCATAGCTCAGTTATTTGGTGGTTTGATAGCTTGATAGTTCAGTGGTTCCAAGGTTAAAGGTTCAATTTTGATAATTGAATTGTTTAGTATTTTGATAGTTCAGCAATTCAATACTTCAATACTTTGGTGGTTGAATGGTCTTATAATTTGATGGTTGAATAGTTTAGTTGGTTGTCTGATGGTTTGATATTTTGATGGTCAGATGATTAATTTATTTGTTAGTTGAATGATTTAAAACTTTGACGGTTCAATGGTTTTATGGTTTAATATTTTCATAGTTGATGGTTCGCTGGTTTGATAGTTTAATTGATAGTCTTATGGTTTGATTGTATACGGTTCTAGAGATTTGATACAGAACCATGATTATATGAACGTATTTCCGTCTGATCTGAAACTTCAATCTTTTGATGTTTATAAATTCCTAACAATCCAGGATCAGATTCAGTTTAGGATCAGGTTCAAGATCAGACCCCAATTTGGATTGATCTATGGCAGATCCCTTATTAGTGGATCTAACCAATATTGAACCTGAATGGCCAGCTTGATGTGTCCAGTAGATGTTTGTTACTGATACCTGCCCCTCCTCTGGTCCCTAATTCTCAGTTTCATAACACCGGGGGCAACTGGAGCTCTACCTCTCCTCTGGAAAGGTGAGGTCACCTGTCTTCATACCAAGGAATCTGAAGTCTGCAGACACAAGATCAGCTGAAGATTTATGTTTCCGACCCACGATGGATGAAGGTCTGCAGCCAGTCCTTGCTGGACAACCTCACCTAAGTGCAGGTACACACACAGTTTAGTCACACAATGCTGTGACCAGGTCAACTGGCCCGGTTTGAACCGTTAGTCAGCTGGACAACAGAACTGACTGTCCAAGGACACTTGATGAATTCCCCTGCCCACAGGTTTCCTGCAGCCATGCATCAACCTGAGCAACTTTCTGCATGGTGCTAATGAAACACCCCAAAATTCAGGAAGATCTCATTTTGGAGGCATCTTCAAAGCCAGAGTACCAAAAGGTTACAGATCAAAAGCTGCTGTAATCAAAACCCAATACCCAGAAAAAATCCCAATGATTGATTTTCTATTGTGTCTTTCTTCATTCATCCTCAAAAAGTTGAATGAGTAACTTTGGCTAGTTAGTATAGAATCCAGTAGATCAAGATAATGACTTGACGTGTCCTCAGTATGAACAGACAAACCGGTTTTAGTGATGCTAAAGATGATCTCAAACCAGTTTGTTCTCTGACTGTACGATCTGTTTCACCCGGCAGAACAGACTGAAGGGCTAATCTCTCACAGTCTGAGCAGTTCCTGATGCTTTATCTGAAAACTCTTGAAAACGTCATTGGCTGCTAAACTAAGGCCCAAATGGAAAATGAGAGTGTCTGTTCCTCCTGGCTATAGCAGCATCTGAATGCTGTAAAAAATAGAGTGTTAGTTACACCTGTCCGAGGACACATGATTAGAGCGGCTTTTTGGATCCAATCCACTACAGCCAAAACTAGATACACATAAACATTGATTTTGTCCAAAGCATAAACCAACTTTTAAAGATGAACTGAAAATACCTGTGTTGACTGGCAGCTTTCAGCCAATCATCAGGTGATGATGGACCATTCTGTTTGCCCCACAGGTGAAGATGCTCCTCCCACTCTGCTTCCCCTGACCTCTGGCCTGGATGTCTTTCCAACTCTGGCTGGAATCACTGACATCATTGCAACCAAGATCCCATCACTAGCAGGAGTTGCTACTGCCATAGGAAGTCCCACCCCCTCTGCGCCCCCCCCAGCAGTCCTCTCCATCGACAGCATGTCTAAGGACATCTCCACACATATTCCTGACTTAGCAGAGGCTGTTAATGCTGTGGCCAAACCTGCAGCACCTGTGTTAAACTCCACCCCCTCCAGTCCTGCCACAGGTGCGGTGAACTCAGGCAGCATTGCTAACTCACTGGCTAGCATATCTGCTTTGGCAGGGATTAGCGGTGTTGCTAACCCTGCTATCAGCCCTCTGCCCTCAGCCCCACCCCTTTTGTCTGATGAACATCACCCCCAATCAGTGAGAACTGATCACAAAGGTAATGCACCCAATATAAGAATAGCTCTTTAACTTATCTGTTCTTAACCATCCCTGGTTCCAGTTGAAGGTAATCAAGTTTTCAATTGAACCAGCTGTTCAGTTTATTTTAAACAGATATTGCTACTCCAGCCTGTTCCTGTGCCGGTTGGTACATTATGGATGGACTGGTTTTAGGACAATCAGATGAAGTGACTCTTGATTAGATCACAAACAAACAGCCATCCACTCACAATAACCTGCACGGTTGTAACATCTGTCCCTCCGTTGTCCTCAACATGTGTGTAGATGGAGCGCTGTCACAGCTTGTGGCAGCATCTTTGGACCTAAAAGCAGGGGTTGGACTTCCACCTGCAGAAAGTGAGACTAAAATACTATATACCTAAATACTAACCCTAACCCTAACCCTAAAATATGCAGCTGTTTTGACCCGGCCTGTTCTTCATCTTCTGCGGTCTTTCTGATTCTGGTTTGTTCTAGTTCCAGCTCCATCTCTGTCTCCTCACACTAATGAAGAGAACCCGTATGTCACCGTGCTGGCCAGTTGGACCAGCCAGGAAGAGGCTGACTCCGAGTCATCAAATGACGAGAACGAAGCAGGAGTTGGTCCAGGCCTCATTCAGGCCGACGGCGCCAAAGAAGTGAATACTGTCACTGACCCAACTGGAAGTACCAACAGGTGTGTATAGTGTAGAGGGTTATCACAAATACAGCTTCTGCTCCAATCTGATGTCCTGCTGCTATGTTGTAGAGTCTCAGCCAGCCCCTCCCAGCATTTCATACCCACTCGGCCGGCCCCGCCCCCACCTCCTAAAGTGATCCAATCACAGAAACCTGCAAAGCAGAAGACCCCGAGGTAAGGGAAAAGGGGTGAGGGTTCTGATTAGATATATTTTGTGTGTCCTTATTCACCTGCAAAAGCCAGAGGTCAGGCTCAGCTGAACAGCTGTGAATTATGCCAGAATTCCCTCAGTTGTTCAGGGAAGGGTTGACAAAGCTAAAAGCTCAGAGAAAATGTATCGATAGATAGATAGATAGATAGATAGATAGATAGATAGATAGATAGATAGATAGATAGATAGATAGATAGATAGATAGATAGATAGATACTTTATAATCCCGAGGGAAATAAAAAGTATTCAGAAGCTACATAGTCTGACGTTTTTATTTGGCCCTGATAAAATATGAAAAAAATCTTTTTTTTTTATATTTGTAATTTATTGCCATCCAATAAGTCAAAATTACTCTCCCGAGTCTCTTGTTGTTATCAGGTTTATCTGATTTACAATAGGGTTTTGAGCAAAGTTTTTACCATCAAATGATGGCGAAGGTCTTAGATGCGAAACATGCCAAAAATGTGTCACATTTTATGTATAAAATAGTGTATAATAGGGTTAAATATGAACTGCACCATGTGTTCATGTGCAAATAGTTTTGATATTATTGTGTGTCTAATCGCGATCTTCAATGGCCTCCCAGTGCAGTGGTACAGTCTCACGGACAGAGGGACAAAAGAGTTCCTGGGTCTGTTAGCAGAGTAGCTCAAAGCCAGCAGCATGCTGCTGAAAATGCTCTTCTGTGCGGTCAGAGTTTGGTATTGTGGGTGTTTTGTGTTGTCAAGAATGGACAGAGCCTTTTCAAGGGTCTGTCTCTCTGCCACCAACACCAGGGAGTCCATTTCTGTTCTAATAGTGGCGTGACCAATGAGTCATATTCAGAGCCAGCTAGCTTGTATTTGATGGTTCACGTTATCGCAATCTGCATGACTAAGTGTCCATACAGAGCTCTGAGGTGTGCCTGCTCCTCAGGGCAGCCACCATCCGAGTTTCCAGGAAGAAAGGGGGAAGTGGGAGCTCCGCCCCGCAGAGCGCTGTGGTCCGAACCAGCTGGCTGGACGTCTGGAAGGGCTTCAGGTAAGGGAACCAAGATGGGTGGGTGCATGTATGTATGGACGATAGGCTGAGCAATGGACAGATGGATGGATTACGGATTGATGGAAAGATGATGGGGTGGCACGGTGGTGTGGTGGTTAGCACCAGGACCAGAGGGTTCTGGGTTGGAGTCCCGGGGAACCAGAGGGTTCTGGGTTGGAGTCCCGGGGGAACCAGGACCAGAGGGTTCTGGGTTGGAGTCCCGGGGGAACCAGGACCAGAGGGTTCTGGGTTGGAGTCCCGGGGGAACCAGAGGGTTCTGGGTTGGAGTCCCGGGGGAACCAGGACCAGAGGGTTCTGGGTTCTAGTCCCGGGGGAACCGGGACCAGAGGGTTCTGGGTTGGAGTCCCGGGGGAACCAGGACCAGAGGGTTCTGGGTTGGAGTCCCGGGGGAACCAGGACCTTTCTGGGTGGTTCTGCATGTTCTCCTGTGTCTGTGGGTTCTCTCCGGGTTCTCCGGCTTCCTCCCACCCTCCAAAAATCTGCATGTTAGGCTGTTGGACTCCAAACTGCCCTTAGTGTGAGTGTGTGTGGTTGTGGGTCCTTGTGTGTCTCTGTGTGTCCTGTGATGGACTGGTGTGGGTCCTTGTGTGTCTCTGTGTGTCCTGTGATGGACTGGTGGATGGTGGATGGTGGGTAATGATTTAATGGATTGATGGATGGAGGATTCATCATGAATAGATGGATGGATGTGAAATTAATGGGTGGATGATAAACAGATGGATGATCAGTGGACTGATGGATGATAAAGGGATGCAGGTGTGATAAATGTGGGAGGGATTGAGGGATGATGAATAGATGGATGGACAGATAATGAGTAATAAGCAGTACTCTCCCATTAGATACAGCGTTCTATGGGTGACGTTGGATGGACAACTGATGTCTCTGTGGAAAAAACGTACAGTAAGTGGAACTATTTCTGTCATCTGTGAGCTCAAGAGTCTGACAGTTGGATAATGGGTGTTTTGTCCACTAGGACCGATTCAGTGAGGTGCTGTTTCATGTGTCCAGCATAACCAATGTGAAGTCTCAGGACAGAGGTAGATTCTCTGTGTACTTCAGGAGGAAGCATTATGACTTCATGGCAGTTAACAGTGGTGAGTGGCACTTCCTGCTGATAATCTCACCGCTGATGTGTCCAGTGTTTTTCACACTTACTGATTTCCTTTTCAGAGGTTCAGGAGGGTTGGGTGTCATCTCTACAGGCAACACGAGGCCAGCCAAGTCCCAAGCCGCCCGAACTGCATGGACAAATCACTCTGAAGGAGCCGCGGAGCCGTGGCTACGCCGCTGTATGGGGCCACAGCCTGTGGATCTACCCCAACAAGGAGAACTTCCAGCTTGGCTTAGCCTCCTTCTCCATCCCTCTGAATGTGGCCACGGTCAAGTCCACCAGAAGAAATTCCTTTACTCTCATTACACCATACAAGACCTTCAAGTACATTCCGTCCCTCAATGTGCAAGTCATAGGAGGATGCCGTTTACTTTTGATCTTACTGTGCTCTCTCCCCCCAAACAGCCTATCTGTGGATTCCTCCAAGGATCTGTCCATGTGGTTGGACAGCCTGTCTTCAACCATCCACAGTGCTCTTTCCTGCAGCCAGGTGGCGCTGCGCCTCTGGGAAAACCCCTACAATAAGGTGTGCGGGGATTGTGGAGCAGCCAATCCTGAGTGGGCATCGGTGAACCTGCTGCTGGTCATCTGTCAGAACTGTGCAGGTAAGCTGGATGCTACCATGGCAGACACATATGCATTTAGTTAGGCTGTAGGATGATGCAAACATTGTAGTATGAAGAGCAAAACAGCTTCCAGTTTTTGCCATAATGATCCAGAAAATATTAATTCACAGTTAAATGTTGGGTTCTTTAACCTAGGCCCTTTTTAGTCTCATTACATTTGGATGGGCCCAAAAATCTTTGGTATCTGCCCCACCTTAAAAATCCAGTGCTATAAAAGGCAACATCTAAACTGGTACGCTGTGTTAACCCCTTCAAAGTAAACACAAGAAACATTTACTACATAAATGGACCACACTCAATTAAAAAGTCCTCTAACAGTTTAACATTAACCACAAACATGGACCTAATAGTGGGTCAGTACCTCTTTAAGAACCTCTTGATCCCTATGATCCTTCAACAGAATAGTGAGCAATGATAACCAACATATGTTGGGAACCCCCTTTCACCTGTGTACAGGTGTCTAGTTGCCCTGATGAGACCCCCAGGAGGCTAGACAGTGATCACTAACATCACAGAGTGACCGACCGAATGCCAGCCATCACCCTCCACACACCACATTTCATTCACAAACAGCTCTGTGATCAGCTACCCCAGGCTCTCCACAGACCCTGGGGACCCTGGTATAGGAAGAGGTTGGAAGTTGAAGAGATAAAGTTATTTAGTGGGGGTGGGGTACACACTCCCAGTAGAGGGCAATGAAACATACTGTACAGGGGGCAGGAGGTCAAATCAGGACAAAACACAATGACAGATTCAGTCGACAAGTCACTAAGAATCCATCCTCTCTGTTTAATGGCCCTAAGTCTTCTAAATCTTCCCAAATAAACAGTTAGTTTTATGAAAAAGACCCTCAAGCTACCTTATATTTGTCAAGGCTATTTCCTGGGGAAGCTTTCCTGCTAAATCTGCATCTCTCAGTCACCTGAATTCTCCACGCTGCCTCGCCTCCTTGCTGCCCTTTTAAGTTTCTCTTTCTCTTGAACAAACTGAATTGCTATGCTCTTTGTCTTAGACCCCCCCTGCCTATGTTTATTGTTTATGTCACAATGTAGAGCAGCCTTGAGACAGTTACCTTACAGAACCCTCAGGGCCAGCCCAGGTCATCTAATCTGGGTTAGGGTTAGGGTTCTCTGAATCCAGGCCTCTGGCCCCTAACCCACAGCTCCGTCTGCTCTCAGGTCAGCACCGGGGCCTGGGTTAGGGTTAGGGTTAGGGTTAGGGTTATCTGGGTGAATCCAGGCCTCTGGCCCCTAACCCACGGCTCCGTCTGCTCTCAGGTCAGCACCGGGCTCTGGGTTAGGGTTAGGGTTAGGGTTAGGGTTAGGGTTATCTGGGTGAATCCAGGCCTCTGGCCCCTAACCCACAGCTCCGTCTGCTCTCAGGTCAGCACCGGGGCCTGGGTTAGGGTTAGGGTTAGGGTTAGGGTTAGGGTTATCTGGGTGAATCCAGGCCTCTGGCCCCTAACCCACGGCTCCGTCTGCTCTCAGGTCAGCACCGGGCTCTGGGCAGCAAGCTGTCCAAGGTGCGCAGTCTGCGGATGGACAGTAAGGTGTGGACAGAGCCGCTCATGCAGGTGAGCAAACCCCTCCGGCGGATCCTGGAGGACCACTGCCTCCATCAGCAGTTATGAAGCTTCTCACT